ATTCAGAGTCAACTTAGCCAAGAAAAGTTTCAAAATCAACATTTTCCTAGTCTAAATGATTTTTTTTGAGGTTATGTTCAATCTCAGCACAATTTGCAGTGTTTCTTGGCGTCAAATATTAAAAAAAGCAATGGTTATTTTGCGAATTATTAACTAAATTTGTCCTTGATTTATTACATAACCTAGAAAAGGATTATTTTGATTATTTCTACGTAAGATATCAAAATTTTACTCTATAAGAAGCACTCAGGAAAGGAATATTGTACGTTTTTGATCACTTCCCAAGACTTCTGCTGAACTGTACACCACTTCTGACTACATTATCTCCCTCTTGACTTAAAGAGCAAATATTTAGGCAAGACGTTTGCTTGATACTCGTGTTATTCGAGTCGGACTTGGCTTCTTATTACTCAAATTGCTTCAGAGTTGTAACTTTCTTAGTTCCCAAGCTCATGGTAACAACTTTCCTCATCCTCGTGAGTTTGTATGTGAAATACAAAGTAAAAGTTGCAAGATGTACTTTAAGTGCTACAACACCCACAATAATGCTCAGCATTTCATGAAATAATGTCAAAGATGTTGAGATAAGAAAATGTAATGCAAGACTGTGCTGTAAACTCGACGGTGAATCAATAAATAAATACGACAAGCCCGTGCTTTAGCCATGAAAACTACTGTTTTTCTCCACTTGCAGGGAGCACTAAAACCCTTATCATTATGACTTTATAGGTGTACTTAACTCATTCATGGCTTTGATTAACTTTTATGGAACTGTGCGCTCTCGTTTTAAAGCACGATGCCATGACATTTGGGAGAGGAATCCTGTGGCGTTAAGTGAAGCACAAATTGTCCAGAGCATCCCAGAGAAATCTTCACGCTTTCTTCGTCTTCTGGACCATAAACATTCCGGATAATATGTTCCATTTCGCTCGGCTCCTGCGGTGGCTTTCATTTCTGAATGTGATGCACATACGAAATTTTATTTCCCACTCATCCCCGCCAAATGGTGGTGGTTTTGTGCGTAGAATCGCGTGGGGTTGAACACAACAGGGAAATAAAATGACAAGCTCGCGAGTGCATAAACTTCAAGCCCTGCCACATTGTGTTTCGTCAGGGGGGAAAACATTTCCAGCCAAATCGCATGTGAAACACGTGCAAATCGACTAAAAACGACCATTTGGTAGTTCGTGAAAAAAACAGCCACTCTTTTGTTAGCTTCAACACATGAAATTCCCATTTCGCGTTAGTTTTAATCTTCCTGACATGTTAATTTCCACTGCGAAATCATCTCTCTCTCTCTCTGAGTGTGTTTGTGTTTTAATTAAGCGCTGCGCTAAGGACGGAAGTATAATAATTTTTAAGGGTTGTACTTAATTTATAGACAATTCGCGCGGGAGCGGATGAACTTTCCCCAGCAAAGTCACTCTGTCGCCACCCCAGAAATTGTGCGGAGAGGGTTAATTAAGTAAATGAAAGTTCAGCATAGACGCTTTGGATTTTCCAGGCGACAATGAAATGTTTGTAATTATGTTTTCTTCATTTTCACTTTTCTTCCTCCGACAGAACTGCAGTAAACTTTTGCTGAATTTTCCTCTTTTAGCGAGTGAATTGAGACAAACATCATTAAAATCTTCTGCATACAGGCTGTGCCCTTACTTACACACTTAAGTTTGTGAGAAAGACAAGAACAAGAAAGCACTCAATTTAGCAAGAGATGAACTTTTATTGAGTCATGCTTGTAATTCTTCTTCTGAGCGAAGCGAGAGCGCTTGTTTACATCAATCCGGAGATATTTATGCTCTTGAATGTCATTTAAATAATAGAGGGACAAATTTGAGTGAATGAAGATGGGCAAGGCAAGAAAGGAATCCGACAAAGATTGTGGGAAATTCTCATATCAAAGGGATTCCATCCAAGGAACAACACTGATGGAGTACATTTCCATGAGTAAATACCAGAGATTTCCTTCTTTGCATTGAATGTGAGTACATTCAAAACACACATATGAAGGAGATTAAAATATCCTACTTATCTCCTTAGGAGATCCGGAAACAGGGCGCGCAGAAGGATACCCTTTTCATCCTCTCCATGCAATATACATAAAGGCCACTCTTCTCTCTCTCTCGCTTTTGCTGAAAAATATATCTCTTCCGAAATTTGTCCGTAATCCCAATAAATCGGCCGGATCACGGCATCTTGTGGGATTTTCTCTGTGGGTAGAAAAATCTCCTAATTGAAATTGAAGCGAGAGGATGACGTTAAGAAATTACTGGGAAATTCACAGCAGGATCAGCACAGAGATTTCCCCACACTTTGATGATGGCAAATGTGCGGAGAAGATGTTAATGTGAATCCATTGCACAAGTTATTCAAATTTATGCACATAAACTTCCGTTAATTCGAATGAGGGCAAAACGCAGAGCTGCGACTGTCGTTTTCTCAGCGGTGTGTCCCTCCTTCCACCCCACAAGGAGCCTCCCAAGGAAGTGCTGATTCGGAAGAATTTCCCCATGAATTTTACAAAATTGCTAAATTAACCTATTTGATGAATTAATCCTCTAGCGAGTGATGACGTCTTCTCGAATCCCCAGCAATTTTCTTTCGCATCTCTGAGACAATGTTAAAGTCTCACCCACTTGAACTGCTCTCAAGTTTAGTTTCTGTGTTGATAAGTTTTTCAATCAATTCACGTGAAAGCAATCACATAATTCATCATGATTAACAACTCTTCAATTCAATTTCCATTTGAATTTCACTTAAAATTTGCACCTCAAATATTTGCCATGGAAAACTTTATGGAAATCAATGTGGAATTTATTTGATGTGCTTGAAGAGGGAAAAGCTTCTGAAAGGCGCATCTTAAGGCACCCCCAAAGAGAAGAACTCATTAATTATTTCGTCTCATCATGCCAACGGTTCCCTCCCTTGTCATTTCACACAAGACAAGAGAAAGCACAATAATTTTGCTCACTTCTGACTCCCAATCCTGTGACGACTGTTTAATAAATTAATTCACGGTGTCAAGACAGGAGAGATTCTCGTACAACAAATAAATCCATCTGACAAATGTGTCTGGATTTGCCATCCTCATTCGCCTTTCACCAGCACTTCAACACTTTGCCAAGCGCCGCTCCTTTTTCGCTATTCCCCATAGGAAATTGTGTCAAATCAACACTTGCCCAATTCGTTGCCTTTGGCGACTTCTTCTTTCTTTTCTTCAGCTGCCGCCCAGAAATCGCGTTTGGAGTCTGGAGATTGTTCGAAGTAATTTACAGAGGAAATATTTGCTTGTGCCGCCATTGAAGGTGATAAAATGCGATAAAGATTGCCTCTTAAATTGCCAAAAAATACTCTTTTCGGCGCTCTTTTTGCTTAATGCCGCGCGCTTATGGCGTCATCCAATTAAGGGAGGAAAAAAAACTCTCTCAAGAGGAAACTCTCTTTTTACGTGCCTCCAATATTAAAATGCATTTTGCATTTTCTTACATTCGCCTTGAGTGTTATTTGATTAAAATAACAGAATAGGAAGGACGGAAGACGAGAAACACGACAAGTCCAGACATTTTAATTAGTAACAAAATTGCAGTCGAGTTTAATTTATTTCCTTCAGCGCACCCGAAAAGAATGCAGAAAAACCACACTTTTCCCATGTTCTTTCCCAGCTTATTAAGCATAATTGTCCAAGAGCTTAGAGAGCATTTATTTATTCTCAACATAATTTCATCTCCAGAATTTCTCCGTGTGCTTTTTCACTGTTTTATATTGGAAGTTTAATTGGAACGTAAATGCAATAATTGTCGTGGAATCTAAATTGGAAGGGAAAAGTCACTAGCAGATTTTTAGGAATTTTCTAGTTACAAAAATTGCGAAATAATCAAAAATTTAATATTTTCTGCAATATATTTACATAAATCAAATTATATTTAAATATTTTCTGAATATTTTACTAAAATTTAAATATGTGATTATTTTCTCCACATTTGGTCGCCAGAGGGCAGAAATGTTGGCGTGGGGGACGCTAATAATATTGCATTTTCACATAATTCTCTCTGTCTTCTCACGCATTCTCACACTTTATGACTTCCTGGCGTGATCCTGGCCAGGAAAGAACTAAATTTGAGCATCAGAATGAAGTTCTTCGCGTAGAAAAAGCCCGGTTTCATCATTAGTTCATCAGCTGATAAAATTTGAAAGGCATCAGAAAATTCTGATTGTATTTCTTAAAGGCGTTTTAGAATATTTTGTGATTTTTCTTTCTTCTTTTTAGCCACTTTTTCAGGTGGCAAAATGTGAAGAAAATATTTAAATACTTAGAAAAAAAATCTAATCTAATTTTAAATAAAAATCACGAAAAATCACAAATTTAATGTTCTAAAACTGCAAATGACTTTCCTCTTGCTAAATTGTGAGAAGGAAAAGTTTAATGTTTAATGTTTTTATCCTATCAAAAACACCCATCTTTGTTTAACATGGCAAATTTGGGAAAACTACCGTTCTTGCATTTGTAATTGTGTGCATTAATTCATCAGCTTTTTGCATCCCTAATTTATTCCAATACACAATCAAGGATAGTTGTTTGGTATCAATACAATGAACGCTGTGAAATTCAGCTGTAATCTGAGCTCAAATTACATTGCACGCCGTGTTATCGAAGCCAAGATGAAATGAAGGTTTTAATCTTTAATCTAGGCTCAATGCAGAAGTGAACCGCATTGTCTACTTCCTCCGCAACAACACACATATGCGACTACACAAGCCATTGAGATGTTTTTCCTGCATTGGGTGGAGAAAACACTTTTCCCGCACTGATAATATACATACATAATGTACACATGGCGTGGAAGGCGAAAAACCGAGAGCACTGATGCCCTTTTTTCCCTTCGACCGTTCATTTGCCACGAGCTGGCGGGGGTGGAAGGGGCGCGAGTGGGGTTGCTTGTGCAAAAAGTAATAAATAAATATAATGTAGAAAACAACGTGATAAATGGTTGAATTTATACCTCTTCTTTTGTGCTTTCTGCTCCTTTTCTCAATGCTCTCTCTCGTCCTGGACGATCACTTTTCGCCTTCAACCCTCCACTTTGTAGTCTGCGTGATTGACTATTTGTCCGACATAAATGCGAATTTTTTTCTCACTTCTCGCTCTTTCTCTCTCTCTCTCACCGTTCTTTGATGGTGAATTTATGTGTGTGAGGCTGAGGAAAAAAGTTAAGTTTATTGACCAGATTCTCCCCAAAGTACATGAGACCGTTTTGTGGGCTGAAATTGCACAGAATCCCAATTTAGATGGCCAATTAATTAAGGTGGTCTGGTGAGGAAATTAGCCTTGTGCGGTTTCAGCTCAGAGGATGGACGCTTACAGGTCAGTTTTTCGCAATGATAAAAGCGAAAAATTGTATGTGAATTTTTTTAGTGTTTTTGACTACAAAAGAATCCCAAAAATTGTAGCAAAAGAGCTTTGTGGTCATTGTGGATCACAGAAAGTGACAGAAAAATACTGTTTCAGACATTTTTGCTCAAATCAGAGAAGGAATAAATAGTTTAGCAAGCACAATTGTTCTATTTTCTCAAGCTAAAACACCCTTAACTTCCATATTTTATGCTATCTCAGGTACAAAAGCGTCTTTAAATATATTGTAATAAATTCTGATCAGATGAGAAACAATATTTTTTGAGAATAAAGACTAATAAAACACGGAATATTAAGAAAAATGTTTTCTTTCACATCATAAATTCTGGTGTTATTTTATATATTTTTATTGCTCACTCAAAAAGCGACATAATGAAAGCTTAACTCCGTTTCTATTTTATAAAGATATACACACTTGACTTGAATTTTGGATTATATTACAATGGAAAACTGGTGAGAGTTGTGAGTTGATTTGAGTGGTTCTATTGAAGCCATTAAGTTTTTAAAAATAAACTGGGCTTCGGACAAATCTCGCGTTCAACCTCAAAATGTGTGGAATGACATTGAAAAATGTGGGAGAAGTTTTCTGAAACTGGAAATATTTTATTCAATTTCGATCAAATGTGACCCATTCCAGGACGCATGCAAAGGCTCCACACTCTTCTCTCTTCAACTACAATCTTCTTCACCACATGTCTCACATGTAAAATGTATGTGACTCGAGATGATCATGTAAACGCCCATCCCTGGCTCGTGCACACGCTTACATCCCAAAAAATAAATCTAAATGGGGATAAATAAGAGGAGAAAAACGTACACTTGTAGCATAAATTTTTCACCAAAAAGACGAAATCCAAGAAGCAATGTTTCTTACACTTTTCCTGTTATTCTTATATTCTCTCTTATTTGTACTACGCTATCAAGCACAACACCGAACGTGAAGAGATACACAAACACAATACACCAATTATTGTTGCCCGGAGGGAAACAATCTGCCGGGCTGAGGATGAGGCGCAGGCATTTGTGCTTCCGGGAGAGGGAATCTCTTGCACAGGTACGACGAGAGAGAGATTTATTTATTTTCTTTTACTGATCCTCTGGACCCCGCCTCGCCCCCTCGTTGGCCCACCGCGTCTCACCACTAAATCATCCAGTGATTTAGAGCAACTCTTTCACTTGGAATATCTCCACTGAGCAGGAAATTGCACTGGAAAATTTATCATCCACCATATTGCGTCTGTATTTGTGTAGATTAACGTCAACGAGATCATTTACAACCATGTGGAGTCTCAACTCTGACACATCTCTGGGTAAATAAACATTTTCCGCGAGGGCGGGAAAGTCGCGCGGAGTTGTGATGGTAAGGAAAAATGCCCGGCACGCCGGTTTTCGCGGATTTCCTCCGGCACTTTTTCGACTACTGCTGGTGGAAATTCTCACACGGCGCACACGAAATTCAGAATCTCTCCGACAGACGCTCCGAGACTTTTCCCGTGACTTTCCTCACTGATTCTTCACACACAACTGATGAAGCACTGCTGAGTTTTCCGCTGAGCCACCTCGTTAGACTACCGCCGCTACAGTGCCTGCCAGTGAAATTGCGCAAGACAATTTTATCGCGCCAACAACGAAAGTTTGTTCAGTCAACAAGATGTTAATATGAGATTCTTAATGCCTCAGCATGTTGCGTCTTCACTGCATCGCGATTTATATCGCGAGAAAATTTATATTTTGGGTCTGAAAATGAATTTTAGGGCGTTGAGAGAATTATTAAGAACAGAAATCTGTGTTTTAATACGAAATTTGAGGTTGAGTTTAAGAAGAATAATGAACAAATAAAGGACACTTTACGATTTTTTCTCTATTTTCGACTACAGATTTTCGTCGGCATTATTTAAGATTCTGTTATGTGTAAAAATTAGAAGGTTTTATCGTAAAACCTTGCGTAAAACCGTAAATATTCGATTATAGATCAAGTATTAAAGTAATGTTGTGTATTCATTTGTGTTTGAAAGCTTTTCATGTGAGAAATTCGCTTCTGAACTGCAAAATCATTCTATGAAATAAATTTAATAGAAATTAATTTATAATTAATTCAAACGCTTTCTCTGACAAAACTGCGATCATGATCTTGATAAACCATTAAGAGAAAGCTTTCCTTAGCAAAATCTTCCAGTCAAAGAACACAATGATCATTGAGACAGAGAAATTGAACACATTTGTTAAACTTTTGTTACGCCAAACAATCTTTTTCCCAACAATACATCGCAGTTCTTTCTTCATTTGCATCACTTCTGCTGTGTGTGGGTGTTTTTCATACACTGGAAAAGCCGCGATTGCGCACAAATCCCTCAATTCTCCTCTCTCTGTCGTGGGCAGTGGAATCCGCAATCTGGCAAGAAGGCAGGACTGAGAAGGCCCGAGACGATGCCAATCCGTTGTCATGACGCCGTGAGCGTTGTCAACACAGTCCAGTGAAAATCCACCCGTGGGAAATGTCTCTGTTCCGCGTGATCACGTGGTGGAAGACTCAGTGTCCCAGCACTTCCGGCTTCGACAGTCTGAGTCTCCTCTGTGGCCGTCTGGGTTTGTCGGAGGACGGCGAGAAGGATGCCATCGCCGTGGGATCGCATTCTGGCCACTTGAGCATCTTTGCGCCATCTCCACCCCAAAGTGGCGCCACTTTCTCGCCCACGGACGTGCTGCTGGAGGTGAAGCTGCCTCAGCCCGTGATTGGGCTGGCGTGTGGAAAGTTCTCCAGCAGCCGAAGTGACAACAGAAGCTGCCTGGCTGTTCTGCACCCCATGAAGCTGAGCGTCTTCTGGGTCACAGCGACAGAAGGTGTGGCTGATCATGGGGCGCAATTTCGCCTTCAGCTCGCCTACGAAAGCATCCTCACGAAGTTCGCCTTCTCCCTCTGTCACGGCGGCTTTGGTGGCGTGAAAGGCAAGGAGTTCCTCTGCATCACTCACATGGATGGCGGACTGAAGTTCTTCGAGCAAGATGGCATTTCCTATGAAGCGCATTTGCCAGAAGAACGAACCATTCCGTCGCCGATGAAGTACATTTCCCGCATTGATTGCTTCGTCACCGTCGCGCCATCGGGCTTCGTTGAGTGCTTCAAGTACCAGGATTTGGCTCAATCGGCGGACAATGTGAGTGGCCAGCAGATTTTCCCCTTCTGGACATTCTTCATTGGCGAAGGAGTCATCGATCTAGCTGTGCATCAAGTGACCAAGTTTGTCGAACTCAATTCTATGCCAAGAATGCTCTTTTGATTCATCTTTGGTGTCTCTTTTTCCAGCAATGAATCCGTGGTTATTGTGTTGGGTGAGCATAACTTATTCTGCCTCACAGACACTGGCAAAGTCAAGTTTATCAAGAAGTTGGATTACACCGCTGTTTGCCTTCACACCTTCGTTATCGGATGGTATTGGGGTGAGTTTTCCCAGCACAATTCTGCATTTTATTGCAAGGCGGAGATAATATAGTCAGAAGTGGTGTACAGCTCAGCAAAAGTACTTAAGAAGTGGAAGTGTTCAAAAACTTGCAATATTTCTTTTTCTGATTGCTTCTTTCATTGCCAAATTATCCTAATTCTTTGGCTTCCTTTTGATTTATTAAGTAGAAATAGTCAGAATAATTCTTTTCTAGGTTATGAAATAAATAAAGGAGTGATTTAGTGTTAATTCGCATCCTAATACATCAATTCTTGTGCTCAAGTTGGAGAAATTGCTAGTCTTTGGCTAAATTAGGCATTTGCATGCAATAAATGTTGCTATTTTGAACTTTGTATGCAAAAATACACTGCAAATTGTGATAAAATTGGACATAACCTCAAAAATAATCATTTAGACTTGAAATATGTTGATTTGCAAAGTTTTCTGAACAATTTTGACTCCGAATCAGTAATTTTAAGTTCATTCGCAAATTATAAGAGATGATTTTGTAATTTAAAAGATGATTTTAAAGATCTGTTAGTAATATTTTTAGGTTATGATCGTTAAAAATACCTAAAAGAGTGATTTTAAGCGGAGTTTTACAGAAATATCAGAGGAAAACTTAAGAGATTCATGATAAGTTAAGAATCAGCGTAGAAAAAGTATAAAATTTCAAGTGGTGTACAAATCAAGGGTGTATTATCTCCTCCTTGTTTTACCGAATCAATTTGACTTTACTTCCAGAACCCGATGTTCGCCTAATGATTGCCATTGCCACGGAAATGGGTTCCTTTCTCATCTACGAGGAATCCAAACTCATCTGGTCAGCTCAACTGCCCGAAGTCCCAGTCGCCGTGACCAGAGGCACATTTACTGATTTGTCAGGAGGAATTGTGACTTTGAGCGACACTGGAGTCCTAACTGTGGGATTTCTCGGCTCCGAACCGCAGATATTCAAGGTTCCGGCGCTCAATCTGAAGCACTTAACAGTGGAGAAGGCGCAGAAGGAGTTGGAGGATTTGGAAGGTGAGATAAAGTCCGGCATTGACTTCACCGACATTTCCCTGATCAACGCAGCCGCTGAGCGAGAACTCTCGGTCAATGTGAGCATCAGCAAGGTCCTAGTTCAGTCCATTTACGCGCCCAAAGATGATGAATCTGACGACGGCGAGAGTCCGAAGATGTGCGAAATCAGTGTCGTTCTCAAGGCCTCAATTGCCATCGATCATGCGCAAGTGATCGTGAACGCAGATCCGCCGCTCATGGCCAAAGATCCTGTCCACGTGTTTCGTGATGTCGAGAGCAAGGCGACTCGCCGAGTGTCCACGTGGATTTACATGGCAAAGAGACTAGATCCGCCTTCGCTGCAGATCAGCGTTCTGGTTTCCTCCATCAACAGACAAGGCATTCCGCGGGTGTGCGAGAAGAAGATCTTCCTGCCCATCGGGCTCGTGTACAAGAGTGGCAGCGCTCAGAAGGAGGCCAAATACAAGATTGTCGTTGAAGCTGAGAATGTGGCGAAGAATGTTGCGGAACTCTTCGCCGAGATGCAGTTTGAAGCTTCAGCGCAAGCCATTGCCTTCAAGTCAATCTACTCAGGAATTTCAACGACAATTGTCGCTGCAAAGAACTCCAATCGATATCGCATTCAAAGTGACAATCTGGAAGCTTTATCAGGAATTCTCAGTCTATTCTTGAGTCGCTTGCAAACGTCTCCAAACGATTCTGGCGAGAAGATCAAGATCAGCGGAGTTTTCTTCACGGAAGAACTCATTCACACGATTGACAATCACGCAAGATGTGCGCAAGAGATGAAAGATCTCATTGAAGAGATCGACAATCGTCTTAAGCAAATGCGACTGATTCAGAGAAGCATTCTGTCGAAGCTACAGAACAAATCATCAGAAGCCATCACTGGTTTGCACATGCTTCTGAAGCTCACGCACGAAGACATTCTTCGTCTTATGAATCTGATCAGAGATCTCGAGGGGAAATCCGAAGACATTAAAATCAATCTTTCCTGCATTCTCAACATCTTGCGCGAAACACTCAAATATTGCGGATTGCCGAATTATGTGACGGAGAATTTACAAAGTGTTCTCGTGACGCCGATCAACGATTGGACAGAACAGGTAAAAAAAGAAAACTTATGAATTATTTGCGCTTCAATTTCGTGTCTTTTTGCTTTAAGATCAATATTTATGTTTCTTCCAAAAATATTTATTAAGATATAATTTCGCTCTCAAACAACGATATATACATATAAGTGTCTTCATTCTCTTGCAGAGACACTAATTAGAAGTCTCGATAAAATAAATTATAGGTCAATTAAACATTTCTGTACAAAAATTCGCTCTAGACATAAAATTTAAGCGGATTTGTGATGCTTCAGTTCATTTTATGCTCGATTTACAGATTTGGGAGGAATCTATTGCGGCGCCGGTGGATCTCATGAGCCACGTGGGTGTCTTGAGTAAGCACAAAGGGATGGATTTCGATGAGAACTACTCTTTTCTGGTCACAAATCCCTTCGATTTGGCTCGCCTCAAGCGTCAGCTCGTGAATCTCTTCGATCGAGTCACGCGCCTGATCGCCGAAGGAACCTCAGAGGTGCGGGAAGAGGGCCAGAAGGAGCTGGAGATCAGTGACTGGCTCAATGAGGCATCGCCGACCATTGCCGATGGCTAAAAGATGAGGAGGAATAAAGGGAACTTACATGGGTTTATAGAGCAGAGGATTTCTCAGACTCTCGTCGGCGCCGTCAAAAACCACACTCTCGAACATCCACTTCCTCATGATGCGACACTTGGGGCCACACTTGGGGCTGCCGCACTTTGGGCACGAGAAGAAACACCCGCAGCACGTGAGGCGCAGGCAATCGCACAAATCCTGGCCATTCTCGATCAGCTGCGCGGCGCGCGTGTCGTGCGATCGACTGGTGGCGCTTGTCGTCTCCATTGGGATCTTCTTCAGCTTGTTCTTCTCCCGCTTCGACGTCTCCGGATTGAAGTCCTTCATGAACTTGTTGTCCTCCATCAGCCTCCGGAGGCGCTTCATGGCCTGCTGATTGCGCACCTGCGCCAGATCAGATGCACTCGGTCCGGAACTCTTGGCTGTGCTCTTCCTGGACATGTTGCTGCGCTGCGTCACACTCTGCTGTGTCTTCGACAGTCGCGTGCGCCCCATTGAGTCCACAGTGGGCGCGGAGGCTGCAGAAGAGGCGCAAAAGCGTCACTAAGAGATATTTTGATGGAGAACTTTCCAGGAGACTCACCATCGCTATCCTTGGACTCGTCTGGTTCACTATCATCGGAGATGATAAGGATTGACTCAGCGGCCGGTTCTGCAGACATTTCACGGCGATTTTCTTGAGAAATTGAGCAACAATTAAATATTTTACAAGCAGCCGGCAAATCTCTACTGTCAAAGTATCTTTACACTATGCGCCACTAGAGGCGTTCGGAACTAGAGAGGAGATCCATGGTGTTCGCCGCGTTCACAGATATTGTGAGCGATTAGGTGAATTTTATTAATACAAGTTTTATGAAGAATGAATGTGTCCAATAATTGGTCAACTTAAGAATCTCTGTTTCAAGAAAATAACTTTGCATCTTTTCTTTACTCAAGATTTTTATCAGTTGCTGTAGTTTAATAATTTCTGTTCAATTGAAACTGCGACATTTTCGCATTTTCCCTCGCGAATTGTATGAAAAATCAGCGAGTATTTTGTAAATCGATACCGTCTGCAGATATTGAACATCTCTCCGAGTGATGTTAAGCCTCGGTAGCGCAGTAGGTAGCGCGTAAGTCTCATAATCTTAAGGTCGTGAGTTCGATCCTCACCCGGGGCACTTCTTTTGCCTCATTTTCCGCCAAACATCATTTATTTTTCCAAACTTTCATCATTTTAGTCATAGTACTGGACATTCTCATCTATATTGAAGCTCTCCAGATCGTACGTCGTGTCCACGACGAAGACTTGGAGGAAGTCTTCGAACTTGTAGGTCTTCTTCAGGAATGTGTCCGTGAGCTGCAGATCCGTGATGGTGATCAGGCCGAGCTGCACGGGGAACACGGTGAGACTGCAGTCCGTGAAGGCACCGGAAGCGATGGAGCCCAGCGTGTATTCCGTGTTGCCGGTGTACGGACCGTTCTGGCGCGCCTTGGCCAGCAGACTCACGGCCAGTTCCATGGACTGATCGCTGGTGTTGGTGATGCGGCACTTGAAGCTGAAGGCACTGCCTATCCGGACGATGCTGGAGGCCTCAATCACGCTCAGTCGGAGGTCCTTGAAATCGATGGGACTGCGCTGCAGTTGACTTGTCTGCAAGCGTCCGCGCTCGCCCAGATTCGAGCGCCACACGATGTCCAGCTTCCCGATGTCGTTGGCGATGCGCAGGGCGTTGGGATCATCGGCCACGGCCGGAATGGGCTTGATGCAGTACAGGAATTGGCAGCTGTTGAGCGGCTGCAGCATCTTCATGGCCGGGAACACAGACTCCCCCGAGGCCAGGCTGTTCAGCTCCGTGGCAGTGTACTTATCCGAACTCTCCAGCTCCACCTTCTCCAGGCAAATCGTGCCCGCCGTGATGTTCTGGATTTGCGCCTCGAGATACACTTCGTCCGTCTCGGCATTGTAGAACTTCGTCTTCACGTCCAGCGGTTTCACCACCTGGAACTTGAAGAACTTCCGGAACGATGCCGGCAATCCTGCCGCCGTGGTGTACTGCACTTCGCACACAAGGATGTGCGTCCCGATTTCCACCACTTCGTGGTGAATCACGTCGTCCAGTGTGTCCTCCGGATTCAGTGTCACCGGCAGCTCCTTCCCCACGTGCATGGGCAGGTTGATTCGCGAGGTCGTGCTCTGCAGATCAGCCTTCACGGTCACATTGTGAACAGGATACTTTGTGCAGTTGTGGACGCAAATGTAGCTGGAAAAGGATTCGCCGAGGTAAATATTGCCGAAGCTCTGCGGCAGGAGCATAAAGGATCCCGCTGCGATCGTCTCCATGCCACGTGCAGTGGTCGCATCCTCCTGGAGCAGCTTGTGCAGAGTGTTCTGGGGCAGATCTTTGGCTTCCGCCGTCACCACTCGAGGCGTCACGAGAGTCGGTCGAGTCAGCCTCATCACTGCCGGAAAGGAATCATTATTCCGTGGAATTCTGACGCAAACAAATCCTCCTCACCTTTGAGTGCCAGAAGATGATCCCCAGACTCAGCTGCAGTCATTTTTCGCCGGGTTTTCACGGATTTTCGCGGAACACAAAAATCAAAACAAAACACCCACAAAGTGAGGTTACGTTCATCCCATCGGGCAACCCAAAATATTTTGCTGTCAAAGTTGTCATGTTGAATTGCAGAAATTCCTGCGACAACAAAGAGAAATCGCCCCAAAATTCTAATTAGATGGAATATTAGAGTTCCACGAGCATGGAATCAGTGCAGGGAAGGATAATAGCGTCCAGTGAGGGTGATCTGGAGGAGAATCACCCCGTGGCAGCGAGCTTTTCCAGCTCCTCAACGCACTCCGACGAGATCTCGACTTCCTCAGAAGTCTCGCAGGCCATCCCGCACGCCCTCATTCGGGAGCAGTGGCAGTTGGTGCTGGGCCAGGAGGCCTCCATGGTGGATCTGCAGAGCGCCATCGAGCTGTGCCGAAGGCTGGTGCTGGAGTATGACGAGGGCAGCTTGGAGAGAAAGTGGATTGTTCGTCATCTTGTGGAGCTGCGCTTTCGTCTGCGGGAGATTCAAGATGTGGTCGAGGATCCAGAGGGTGTGGCCCCACCGTCAACCAGAGTCATCCTGGGCCACCACTTCGTCACGCGGCAGTTGCTGAACGTGTCGCAGAAGCAGTTCTGCGATCACTGCACAGGAATCATCTGGAGCGTTGTGCAGGCGTCCTACATCTGCTCCGATTGCTCCTTCTGCGTCCACCACAAGTGTCTGAGCAGCGTGCTGAGGGTGTGCGCTCACGTGGTGGCCACGGATCGGAAGCTGCCCACTGACGATATCTGCCCAGAAGTGGGTCTGGCGGAGCAGAAGTACAAATGCGCAGAGTGCAGCGTTCCGCTCACGTTCACCAGTAAGTTTTCCCTGATGCCCGAACCTCTCCTGGTTGCATGCTTCCGGACCAGACCGACGAGGCTCGAAGGTTAGCCGGAAAGAGCCCTCTTTACCCTCTTTTCCGTCTAATCATCCTTCCTTTCAGAGCTTCCATGGACTGAGGCGCGCCTGTGCGACTACTCAGGACTCTACTTCTGCCCCACGTGCCACTGGAACAACTCCAGCGCCATTCCCGCCCGGATTGTGCACAACTGGGACTTCACACCCAGGCGAGTGGGGCGCGCGAGTCTGCAGGAATTGGTGCTGCTGCACGACAAGCCTGTGATCAACTTGGAGGAACTCAATCCGAAACTCTTCGTGTTCGTGCAGAAGCTGGCGCACGTGAAGAAAGTGCGCGTGGATCTGTTCCACATGAAGAAGTATCTCACTGAGTGTCGTCTCGCGGGCGCTGAGAAGCTCCTGGACGCTCTGCCCGGTGCCAGAAGGTATCTTATGCAGTCTCCTGAGATGTACAGCGTGGCGGATCTCGTGGCGGTGGAATCGGGAGTCCTGCAGGACTTCCTCACGAAGATCTACGACTCCTTCGAGCGACACATCCGCAAGTGCCAGATCTGCTCCGGGAAGGGCTACTTGTGCGAAGCCTGTGGCAATAATGAGGTCATCTTTCCCTTCGACGACTGCTCAGTGCCGTGCAGAAAATGCAATTCCATCTTCCATCGCGTCTGCTGGCTGCGCAAAAACCAGTCCTGCATCAAGTGCATTCGGCTGGACAAGAGGCGCTCCCAGGAGGACGCCAGCTAGCCTCTGTTTTGTTAATAATACATCTTATTTCCTGCCAAGCACCGTTACTTTTCAGTCCGCCGCGGTCTTTTCTAGCAATTTCTCGCGCTTTATAGCACCGCGTGACGTCACAGTTTGACACCTTTCGCTGGAAATTGTGATCCAGCTTTTCTCCTCCCTTTTTCCGCGATTCCCAGTGCAATTTCGCCCCAGGAGCGGTGCTCCCTGGCCAGGTGGCAGTGCACAGAAGAGGCAGACAATGGCGGCCAAGCGGCCCAGTTCGTTCCGGGAGGAGAAGAGCGCCCTGGATGAGCCCCCGATGTCGCGACTGTTCATCGTCTGTGGCAAGTCCCACACGGAGGAGGAGTTCATGACCCTCTTCCAGCCCTACGGCAATGTGGAGGAGGTGTGGATGGTGAAGGACAAGACGACGGGAGAGAGCAAGGGCGTCGTGTATGTGAAGTTCAGCAGGACGTCAGAGGCTGCGCACGCCCTGGAGGCGCTCAATGGGAAGGTTCTGGTGGAGGGCGAGCGCCCCATCAAGGTCCTGGTGGCGTCAAATCGCGCCCAGGGCGCCAAGAAGGCGTCCGACAATGACTACGAGAAGTGCGTGAGGCTGTTCGTGCTCATCCCCAAGACCATGACCGAGGAAGAGCTGCAGGCGGAGTTCAATCAGTTCGGGGAGCTGGACTACGTGACCATCATCCGGGACAGGAGCAGCAGGGAGACAAAGGGATTCGCCTACGTGAAGTATAGAAAGTGAGTCACGAATAATCTCTCTTTCTCTGCTGGTGAAGGGAAATTCACTTTCGCTCCTCTTTTTGCAGGTTCTCCGACGCTGCCAATGCCTTCGAGAATTGCGACAAGAAGTACAAGGCCATGTTCGCGGAGCCCAAGCCGCCGAAGAATGACATTATGGCCTCCCATGACTCCCTCCTGATCTGCACCAGCTCGAGTCGGCGCATGTCCGGCAGCGGATTGATTCCGCCGCTGCTCAGCGACTTGTCCACCACCACGAGTCGCTCCATGTCGTCGCAGGACGTCTCGCTGAACGTCATCTGCAGCTCAATGGTGAACCAGGATCAGCTGTGGCGCCTGTTCGACATCATCCCCGGCCTGGACTACTGTCACATCACCGGCGAGTTCAACAGGAACTCCAACTGTGCCATTGCCACGTACTCCAATCCCAGCGCCGCCGCGTACGCGCGCGACAAGTTGCACGGCTTCGAGTATCCTATCGGGGAGCGGCTGATCGTCAAGGGCGGCCCGGATCTGTCGCCGGTGCCGCCCATGGTGCCACAAGCGAGCGTACTCAGTGACTCCCTGGGCCAGGGCGAAGTCCCGTGCTCCGTCTCGCTGCCGCCTCAGGCGCCTCTGGCCAACTCTTCATCCGCAGTGGCGCAGAGATGCTTCATCGTCTGCGTGTCGCAGGTAATTTGACGCCCACGGATTCTTCCGAATAATTTAATATTCTTGCCACATATTACCGCCAGAGGGCAGCAGTTTAAATGCGTGTAGAAGTTTCGATTGTATTTCCCAAAGACAAATACGGCTTTTAGGATGTTCAAGTACAGCTTGAGGCAAATTTTGACGCGTATTTTCTCTTTCTGCCAAGTTTTGTATCACAATTTTAACACAAATGAGCTAATATGGGGGTTTAAACGACTAAATTTAGCGTAAAATGCAATAAACCGGGCGTTTAAACCCCTACAATTAGCATATCGGTTGAATTATGGGGCGAATCTTTTCTAACTTTCTATTTTTCCGTTTTTCTACTTGATCTGCTGATCAAATGATGAGGAATCCGGGTTTTTTCTATGCGAAAAGGACTAAAACCTTCATTTTCACGCTCAAATTCTCTCTGAGTGATGCAAATGCGTGAGAAAATAGTTAATCTTTTGCTCTATTTCAAGGCTCTCCCGACGCAAGTGCTGAAGAACGTCTTCTGCCGCTTCGGGGATCTCATCGAAGTCTACCTGCTGCCGAACAAGAACTGCGGCTATGCCAAGTATGCGCGCGAGGAGAGCTGCCGGAAGGCCATTGAGAAGCTGAACGGGGCGGAAGTGTACGGCGTGCGGCTGAAAGTGATGGAGGCTGAGGAGCCGAGCGAGAGGAAGCGACCGCGTCGCGAAGACTAAGGTAAGTTGCAGCTAATGCGTCTCACTTTCTCTCTCTCTCTTGCAGCTGCTGTGCGCGCGGGAGATTCGCAGGAGGCGCGGAAAGAGTTGTATATTTCTTTAATATGCCTTTGACTTTCAGATCACACATTTTTTCTCATAATAATTTGGAGTGTGTGAGTGAATTAACTGAAGTTGCACTCTGTTTCCTTACCATCTTTCGCAGAGAACAGAACAATGCGAAGAGACACACACAGATGACGACGACGCATGAACGCACATGAACTAATAGAAAAAAAAATGTAGTTTGATACTCAGTAGAATTCATATAATGAAAACGGACAGACCGCTAAAGGAAGCACGATCTTGACATTGAAGCTGATAAAACGCACAAAATTCTGACACTGACGACATGGATGTGAGCCACGAAGTGGACTTTATTGGTGGGTTTCATTTCTCGATGTTTTATTCTCTTCTATTGAATGTGGAACATGAACATTACTTAGGTATGTGTGTGAAAGAATGAAGATTTCCTTTATCTCCTCATCCTGTGGGTGATTGTGAGGAGGGGAGAAGTATTATTTGTGTACTTCTGTACTGCGCTAATTGTACAACAGGTGTTTTTTTTCTCGTAAAATAAATGGACTACGCGTTATTTATTCAATATTGTGCCATGTTTTCCTTGCCGTTGAGTTATTTGAGAAATTCAGCGCCCCGAAATGTCTTAAAACACATGCGACAGTCGCCCGACAATCCGTGTGATTGTCTCACTTCATCCGCTGCTGCGATTTCAGCGTGCACGAAGCATATGCTTGATGTGCATGATTGTAACTTTAAAAATGTTATTTTCAAGTTTTCCTTGACCTAAGGACTCTCCAACAATATACATACAAATAAAGGAAATAAAGCACTCCACTGGTTTTTTGATAATTTTTTTTCTTAAGAATTTCTTTTTTTGATAACGACGATAATGTGGAATTTGCAGAATTTGGCAGTTATGGCCATTTTGAAGTAGAAATTTTCTCGCTTTATATGATTTACTTGTTGAAAAAGACACGAATTTTTTGTTTTATTTGAAAAATAAAAACTCCACATAGACAAAGTGCAAAAAAGTCACACGTTAAGGCAAATAGCTGGAGGTGGACGCAGAGTGAAGACTAGATGCGATGTTCCGATGTCGAGGTGCGTAAGCCTTACTTGCCCTTGCCACCCTTCTTGTTCTCCTTCTTGCGCGGCGGCGGCTGTGGCGCTGCAATGGCCTCCAGAGTGGTGGATCCCACACTGGCAATAGCCGAGGAGCTTTGCTTCCTCTGTGAACTCTTCTCCGTTCGCATTGTGGTCACGGTCACGGTGCCTTGACCCGGTCCCTGTGCAGGCGTCACAGAAGTGGACGTTGTCGTCTTGGTGGATTGAGTAGACTCAGACGTTGTCCTAACATCAGCATTAACTCCTCCCACATTTGAAGTGATCATCTCGGACTTCTTCTCCGAAGCGTCTGTCGAGGCCGTTGTGGTTAGAGTCTGAGTAGCTCCTTCGGTTTTCTGCGACTCCTCGAGTGCCACCTTGGCTTTTCTGGACTCCTGAACTGCCCTCTTGGTCTTCTGCGTCGGATCGTTTTCATCCTCCTCCTCTTCTTCCATCTGAATCTCTTCCTCACCATGACGAACGACCCTCTTCATAGCAATGTTAGGATCATTTACAATAGAGACTTCTTGCTTCGTTGGACAAACTGCCAGTACTTTGCTAGGATCTGACACAGTTGGTTCTGTCGTCTTCTTCTGAGTCTGCTTCTTCTTCTTCTTGGTCGTCTTGGTTTCCTCTTCTTCCTCATACTCCTCGGTCTCCTCGACAATCTCTTCAGCATCATAGAAGGTCTTCATGTATGTTTTCTTCGTTCCATCTCCCAAAACCGTTGTGATCAATTGCTCATAGCCATCATCTGTTCTCTTCGTAACAATTGTAGTTTTCGTGACTTCATCAACTTCAGTGAGTTCTTCTCCAACTTTAAGATTCTTCATAGCTTCCGATGGAACGAATTCTTCCTCCGTTTCGTACGTCTTCACGGTTTTCTCAACCTTAATTTTAGGCTCCGGTGGAGGATTAGGCTGAGGATTGGTGGTTGTGGTGGTCTGTTGAACATTTTGAACTTTCTGGACGGTCTCTTGAGTCGCTACTTTCTTGCTGGTTTCTTCCACAGTTGTTGTTGAAGTCTGCTGCTGCGTGGTCTTTGCATCCACAGCTTCAAGCTTTTGTACAGGCTTCGGAGCCTCCTGGGGTTTAGGAGCTTCCTGGGGTTTTACAGGTTCCTGAGGTTTAGCAACTTCTGGAGCTTTGGGTGTCTCAGGCACTTGAGGAGCAGCAGCTGGTGGTGGGACTGGGACGGGATCAAAAGTGGTCTTCTTATGTGTCCTCTTTGTTCCATCAGTCAGGATCGAATTTGTGACTCTCTCATATCCATTTTCAATCCTCTTCGTGATTATTGTAACGTGTATTCTTTCAATAACTTCAACGATTTCCTCTCCAACTTTCAATTTTTTCATTGCCTCCGTTATGACTATCTCCTGAGTTTCGATCTTAGAAATCTCTTCCTTCAGTTTATTCAAGGCTTCTTCATCGACAACTTGAGTGACTTGCTCTTGGATGGTAGTTTGCTTAGAGCTTTCCACTGTCTTCTCGACAGTTTTCGTAGCATCACTTGTTGTTTCAGTAGTCTTGGTTATGGGAAGAGGTCCAGGAGTAGCTGGAACTATTGGCGTAACTTGCTTCGTCTCCTCAACGACTTCAGTTGGATCATAGATTACTTTCGTTTGTGATTTCATTGAACCGTCATTAAAGATTACAGTTACAGTTTTCTCATATCCATTTTCAATTCTCTTGATAACAGTTGTTGTGTTGGTTTTCTTGTTTTTCTTCACGATCTCCTGACCCGTTGTCAACTTCTTCATCTCCTCAGTGACGACAAAATCCTCTGTGTCTTGAGTTGTTTCCTGCGTTGGAGTCTCTGATGTTGGCTTAGTCGGACTTTGTGGTTCTTTAGTGATCTGAACAGTGTCGAAAATAGTTTTGGTGCTACTCTTGGATGTGCCATCCTCAAAAACCCTAGTAATTGTTCTTTCGTAGCCATTTTCAATTCTCTTGATTAGTGTTGTGGTCTTAGTTTTCTCATCAACAATTGTTATGACTTCTCCAGTCTTCAGTTTCTTCATTGCTTCAGTGACCACAAACTCCTCTTCAATAATCTCCTTCTTCTGAGTTGTCTCAACATTCTTCGTTGTTTGTTCGACTGATTGTTCCTCTGAAGCGACTTTCCTGGTTTCTTTAGTGATGTTGGTTTCCTTCTTGATAGTTCTCGATTCATCTTCGACAACTTCTTCACTCTCATCAACTTCTTCCTCAGCATCCATGAAAGTTCGGGTTTGGATGCGTTTGGTTCCATCTTCCATCACTGTTGTAACAACTTGTTCGTAGCCGTTTTCAATTCTTCTAGTTACTGTGGTTGTATTGGTTTTCTCGTCAAACTCAACGAGCTCCTTTCCTGCCTCGGGTTTCTTGGTGAGTTCCAAGGCTGGAGTTGGATTAGTCGAAGTGGCTGTTGTGACTGTTGGAGCCGCAACTTTGGGAACTCCCACAATCTCAGATTGAGTGACATTCGTTGTGACCGTGGTAGTTGTTGTTACAGTCACATTCTCTCCCTCAGTGATCTCTTCAGTCACGACTTCTTCCTCCACCTCATGTTTCGGGAAGATAGTGATGACCTTTTGGGTGATCTTTCCGTCTGGCCCCACGCTCGTGATAATCCTCTCCTCGGCGCCATCCTCCCTGCTCCGGACAATCTCTCCCGGAGCTAATTTCTCCTCCGTCACCGCAACGACAGTTTCCTTGACCTCCGCTATAAGAGAGAGTCGAAAAGAAGTCTATAAGTTGAAAGGTTGAAGTAATTATTGTGTATTAAAGGCATGTGAAAAAAAAGCACACGACAAACCCCGTCAATCCACACCAGCCATAAGAGCTTTTATGTTAGCTTTTGCTTTTCTTCTCATGCGATCGTCCCGGAAGCTTCTGCGTCGCTGTGGCCACTTTGTGATTGCGTAATAAGGGAAGATAAAGCACAAATTGTTTGTTAGTTTGGTAAGCTTGCAGGAATGCTTTCCAAAAATTCTGTGGACTGCAAAAGAAGGGGTGAGAAATTCACTCAAAAAGTTTCTCAAAAGGGTTAAATGCAATTGTCGAATAAGCATGATTATTTTTCAAACTCTCAAACTCAATTTTTACCAAGGCGATAAAGCGATCTATACAGGCTTATATGACTTCTTTCACCTCCTTTTCCCAACGACATACGAAATCTCTAGCGATAACCATTGAACACCGAGATGCTTTACAACGAAATTATGTTTTATCATGTGTTGTGAGGTCTGTGATAAAGGGTGATAAAGAATATCTGGGGATGATTTTTACAACAACAAACATAAATAAAAATGCAAATAATAGAGAAATCATGTTTTATTCTCGACAGAGTAAATCCTGCTAAAAATAAGGAGACACAAAAGAATATTTCAGGCAAATCGTATTTTTGACTAAATGGCTACAAAAAATATATAGAATTCATAGTGAGATTTCAGTTGTTTTGTTCTCTTCTCTCCCCAAAAATGAAGAAATGAGTATAAATGTGAGATTTGTGAAGGAGAGAAGAATGAATTGCAGTTCACTGATTACCTTCCTCGGTTTTTGCCTCAGTTGTTGTCTCCTGAGCTTCACCCATTGTTTCACTAATGCGCTTCAGGATGTTCTCGAAGGAATCTCTGCCCATGTAGTCAATATTGCCCGCCTCCCAGCATTGTCGTCTCATCTGGGACTCAAGAGCCTCTTGTTCTGGGCTTCTCTGCTCTCCTAGAGTCACACTGGCCAGAGCTCCAGCAATTCCAGTCTGTAAGGCATAAGTCATGATGTCAGAAGTATTCATAATTACAATATTGTTTCATGTTCTCTATGTGATGATACCCAAAAAAAACACTAAGAGACTTTCACCACTGAAATGAGGAACATTTAGTGAAATTTACCGTCACCGAATTTGAGAAAGAATCTACAGCTTCTTAAGATTCTACCTATAAAAAAAACTCCTACAACAGCCAACAAGAAGCACTTATCATGCAGTTCTGCATCAGAAGCATCACGGAATCTCCTTCTCTGGGAACACGGAATGGACAGCACTGAAGTCAACAAGAAGCTTCCAAATGATACGCAGAGATCACAGGATGAATGAGGAATGGATGATGTTTTGGGAGGTGATTTGTTAGTGTGGAGGCAAGTCTGTAGAAGAGGAATTCCCCCAAGAATCTCATGCTGGATGGTTTAGAGAGTGAGAAAGAATTGTTGCCTACCTCATCCATAATGCTCTTCACCTCATTAGCCCCTGAAATACTGATCACCTGTTTTTCTGGAGACTTGGCTCTCTCTTGGGGACTCTTTTCCACAGTTAATTGGCCAGAAGGTGGGCTTGGGGGTGGGCAGTTGGAATTTATGGGTTTGGGAGTTTCTTCCGTTTCTTCAGTTGGATAAACTGTCGGACAAACTGTCGCACAAGGCGGTGGTTTCTCAAGATTTTCCATCTGAGGTCCTGTATCGATTTCCTTCATCTCTTCTGCGTGGGAATTATCTGGAATATCTCCAGAATCTTGGAATTCAAAGTGATCATCCTCTAAAAGATCTTGTAATTGATCATCTTCCTGATTATCCAGGAATTCTTCTATGAGTACACTTGGATCTTCCACCTTTTCTTCTACTTTCACTTCAGAAATCTCTTCTTGCATCTCTTGATTATTGTCGTAATCCTCCCAGGGATCGAAGAACTCAATTTTGCGGTTCTCCTCTTGCCTTGTGATCTCATCTGAAGGCTGTTCTGTTTGATTTGAGGGGGAATCATGGGAATTGGTAAGGAAAGGAGGATCTTGGCGTGGTTCTTCGTACCATGCAGTCGCTTCTTTCTGTTGATTCTGTGTGTGGGAAAAGAAGGAGGATGAAAAGAAGGACAGCAATTTCATTTGCCTTTCTGTCTTCTTCTCGAAATTTCCGGACAAAAAATCATTCGGGAAACCCAAAGAGAAATTTTTGAAAAATAAAAAAAAACTATTTCGAAAGAGTGCTTAAGAAATAGAAAATCATTCAAATGGTATATAAATAAATTCAGTAAACAAGAACGCAAATTCTTGGCAAATTGCCAAGAAGAAGTTCTTCCTTGCGATTGTTTGATTTCCCACAACTTAAGCACTCTCTCTCTCTTTGCCAATTTCTTATTTCCCTTAAAGCCTAGAGAGGAAGTAGAGGGAAAAATTCCTGTGAGGAACGCATGAAAATGCTTCTGACATTAGTTACAGAAAATAGGAAGCTTAAGCTGAGGCTGCTTTTGGTTGTATTTGAGACTCAGGCTGGGCTTACCTCGAGGCTTGGATTGCCTTGAAACACGTGAGAGAGCTTGATTTGTGGCACGGAAAAGCCAAAAAATAAAATTGGTTTTGGAAAGAGAAAAACTCTGGTTAATCGGCCAAAAAAAGTACACTCTGAATTTCCTTTCTTCTGTTAGAACCCCCGAAGCGCATTGACTCACCATGTCTCTGGACAGTTGTGGGTGGATTTGATCGAAGAAGATGGACCACCAGGTCTGCAGATGACTGGCCAGGTGAGAGTAATTGTCCGGCGCCCGAACAGTTCTGCTCTGCGGATCGAAGTTTTGCAGCCAAGGCTTGGACGTGCCGATGAAGTGGAGAATCTTAACATCCCGGCCGAATTGCTTGAATGCCGGCAAATAGGAGTACGTGGCCGTTGAGCAAGTGTTGTACAAGAATGGAAGATGTCTTCCCATGTCGCCGTGCGCCCAGTCTGCGAAGTACAAATTCAAGAGGCCCTGAAAGCAGCACAAGAGGTTGATATTGCGAATCTTGAGTCTTAGTCTAGTGATGGGAAAGTATGATTACCTGATCACCTCCATCGAAACTGCCCGCCTTCACGGCGAAATCCAGCAGCTTCCCAAAGGTATCCTGGCTAGGCCGGAAGACAAACACGCCGGAGTTGAAGCAATCGGGCCATCCAACATCCGGAGCTGCGGACAATTCCTCCCTCTCGAACAATTCATCACAGTTTTGCAGCACCTTGAAATGTATGAAATCAGCACGTCAGTTTTATGTTTCTTGGCAAGAAAATCCACTATTCTGCCAGTTCATATGAATGGCGATAAATAATTTTATGCATATTCAAGATTATGTAAATATTTTAGCATGTTAACTTTACAAATTTTGTAAGAAATTCATGCGATGTTCATGAGTTTGGTGCTATTTTTGGGACCAGATAAATAGGGATCATTGAGAAATTCACCAAATTTTACGATCCAATTACAGATAACTTATCTAAATATTATGTTTGGTTTATTATTGTTTGAAGTGTATTTTCGCGAAGAAGGAATATTTTGGAAAATATGCCGTATTTCTTCCCCAACAGCACTTGCAAGGGTGTGAAGACGAACAGGACGTTTCGAGAAATCCTTACCAAAGTGTCCGCATCGAGGAAGACGCACTTGTCGAACTGCGTGAGGTTCCAGCAGTGGAGCTTCGTGAAGGTGACACCGAGTTCTGGTCTGGCCAGGAGGGCGAGATTGGCCGAGTCTCTGCTGTCCAGCACGTTTACTTCCTTCACCACATCAAATACTGTGCTCAGCTTCGCTCGCATGGCCGCCGAGACGCCGGGCGTGATCAGCACGGCGATTTTATGGGCCGTGGCCGCCCTCCGGAGTGACGCCGCCACCACAAGCGCCCCCAAACTGTACGAGTCATTGGTGGCGAGAGTCACCCACGCGAAATCTGCAAAGAAGTAGTGACAAATCATGCCCAAAGCCTCTCACTTTCTGCAAAATCCTACATGAGCGTAAAAATAAAATCGTGTGCAAAATGCTGACAAATTGGCGGTTGGGGCGCGAAAAATTCAAAAAATCAGCCCCTCAGGTTAGTGCGGCGTCAAAATTGTGGCATTATTTGTCGACGCATCTCCTTACGTACCTCGACTCATTTGCATATTGGCCATTTATCGTGTGTCTGTTTTTGGCACTCAATTCACAGAGACTCTCAAGACTCAACAAAACAAGAACAGCCGAATTGCGTGTAACAACCCGCCAAATTGACGATTGAGCCACACTCTTTCAATTGATCAGCTCGCTCAGAAACGATTCTGACCCCCGTGAGGGTTAATTGTCAATTGAAACCGCGAAACTATGTCTTCACTGTCCTTTTCCACTGCAAAGACCCGCCGGTTGGTTGATGAGGAAACTCAAGGGGAAGATATTATGGTCGAAAGTGGTGTACAATTTCAAGGAAATGTTAGTAATTGGAAGTGGTTAAATATTTCGAATATTTGTACTCCAAAAGCTTCTGTTTCAACAAATCGAGGCATTTATATGTAATTTTGCTTAAAAAATCAGTTTTATTGCTTTTATTTAAGGTTATGTGTTTGTTTTAAAACAGATTCTGGTGTCAAAATCATTAAATTTGTTATAATTCTGAATATATTTCTGTTTTTCATTGCAGAGTTGAACATTTTTTATCGAAAAACGTTCACATTTGTTGAGAAAAAAGCTGAAAAGTCAATCATAACCTCAAGAATGTCATTTCACTCCAGAAGATTGTCTTTATGCCTAGTTTTTTTGCGATTTTTTCTTTAAAGTGTCAAATTTATCGTCATTATCTAATAGAAACTCCTTTACAGGTTGGAAAGGATCAAAATTAGTCCAAGAATACTTTTTAAACAGGATTCATAACTTCATAATTTGACTAGATTGTGATAAGTCAGAATTGAGTGTGAGAAACAGTTGATGGATTTTGAAAAACGATGGAAAATGTCTTCAAAGGCGTTCAGAAGTGTCTGTGGAAATGTCACGAAGTCGTGTACAGATTTGAGGTATATTATCTCCCCCTTGAGGAAACTCATTGTTGGATTGCAAGTTTAGTGTGGGTGTTTTTAATATGAAATTTATTCAATTTTCTATCCGAAATTTGATTGCTTTTCATCCTAAAAATACGTTAATTTTGCACAATATTTCATCACGAAAGCTGATGATTCAATTTTTCCTTTGAGAACATTCTTTTGGTGAATCACAATAAAAGTTTTGAGATCATCTCCTCGAAAAGTGCGGAGGCCTTGTGCTAAATTCACAAACATTTCTCCTCTGACTCTCTAGAGTGAGTGTGGAGGATTATTATTTTTGGTGCGGATTTCTGTGCATTGGAAGTGAAATGGAATCACAATTCGGAGAGACGCCATTGCTAACGAGGCACTAAGATTCTGTTCTCTATTTTTAGTTTGTGTGAATAATTTAGACATTTTCCATTGGATATAAATAGACCGGACATTGAACAATTCGCAAAATTGATTCGACGAATGGAAAGTCTCACGCCTTGCCAGATTTTATGCGAAATCGCGCACTTGAATGGCACATTTTTGCCAATGAGTTTATCAACGTGACCACGAAAAGTAAAGTTCACGGCGCCTCAGCCAGATAATGGGGGAATGTTTGGCTGTTTTCTGCACACTTTTCTGCCCACTGACTTACTGGCCCATTTCTGACGGCGGAATCAGTCCAGAAGAAAAAAAACCTCCAGAGCGATTAGATTGCTCAGGTTAACCCTCAATTGCATGGAGTGAGTTTTGGATCAAAGTGATTGGAGTTTTGTAAACAAATTTTTGGGAAGTTTTTTACCAGAAATTTTCCTAGATTTTATCCGCGGCATTTTTCCCCATCAACTTTCACTGAATCTAAAATTAGAGGCATTTTCCAACGGCCACAGAGATTAAATCTGGCATGTCTGAGGCTGAAAAAAGTCACCGGCAAGAGAGAGAGAAAATCCTCCTCACGCATTCTATTTACACATATCGTCAATCTTCAAGGTTGCAGTTTAATCTCGACTGTCTTTCACCACCAAGAGCACATTATAGAGATTCACTTTTCAATTATAACTCTCCTCAGGCTTGCGTGGCGGATCTCGAGAGGCTTTTCCGCGGAAAAGAGCCACTGGAAAGCGGGGGGAGTGTCTGGCATTTTCGCGCGCGCTAAAACGGAAAGAGACGAGACGCGCCTGAAGGTCGAAAGAGGTCAAATTGGCTTTCGCAGAGACATCGCGATCGAGGCGAGGCGTAAATCCACTCGAAAGAAAATGCACTATCTGGCGGTCCTGTGGTCCTTGGCCAAGGATACTTACTACTCATGGCTAGGCACTTCCTCAATTCTCTTACACTCTTTCGCACGCCAATGGATTCCTCGACAACTTCAGTCGCAAGACTCCAAGTCCGCTCCGACTAACTGAACTCGAGAGACTGGTTCCCGAGGAGCCCGCGTGCGGCCGGTGGGCCAGAGCGGCGAAGCCAGCGCCAGAAGAGGAGCGCATGAGCCGCAAACACGAATGCATGATAACAGCCTCTCTTCTGCCCACTCCGGCCAGGGGCGCGCAACTGCGCGTCCGCGGTCCAGGTTGATGATCTCGTCGCCTGTCTTAACTGTTTCATGTGGACTTTCGCCTCCGCCACAGACGCAGGCGATTGAAGTGAGCGGAAAAATTGAATTCAGTTTGTACTTTGTATGTAAGAAATCAGATATAATCAAAATTTGAATAAAAATAATTCAAGTAAAATTGGAAAATAATCAAAAATTGAATATTTTCAGCAAAAATCAATTGTATTCAAATATTTTCTGAATTTTAAATTAATATTTAAATATATTTTGATATTTGATTATTTTCTTCACATTTAGTCTCCAAATCAAAAAATTATTTCATATTTTTAATATACAGGAAATATTTAAATTAAACTGTTTTAAGAATTTCATTTTACATGCCTTTAATCTGCTGCCCTCTAGCGGAAATTTGTGGAGAAAAAAAAATTAAATTTTGTTCAAAATCACAAAAAATCAAAAAATGATTGAATAATCACAAATTTAATGGTCTAAAATCTCGAGTGATTTTCCTCCTGTTTATTGAATTAAAAATTTGTCTCTGATTCTTCTTTCACCCCAAAATCCAACATTTCTCTTTGCCCAAACGCTTCCTCTAAAGCATGAAGAATTATTCAATTAAGTTCCTCTTCCATCATTTTTCAAGCCTTTAGTCAAAAATTCCAAATCATCCAGAACGACAACGGCTGAACAATACTTCTGGGCGTTTGGGTGGAAACATTGTGAAACCCTTTCATTCATGGCACAGACCTTGGCGATTTTCTACCCTCCCCTATTTTACACGTAATTAACCGCCAGTGGAGCGGATCGGCGAGCAAAAGTGAGCGCGCCATTCGCCGAATGGAGGGTTTGTTGAGGAAGTCCATTTATTTGGCAATAAAAACTACATGTCACACACTTTTGTCCCACAGGAAAACTCCCCTGCGTGGAAATTGTGAGGAAAAACTCTGCGCCGGCGCAGACAATGACGCCGAAGTGCGTCATGTGATAAGACGTATCATGTGGGAATTTCGCGCCTCTTTCCTTACTCTTAATCTCACATTATGCAATTGCGTGATTTAACGCGATTGTTTAGATGGAAATTAACTCGGTGTCCGCGTATATTTTTGGCTATTGTGCGAGTTTTTTTTATTTTCTTCTTAAATTGCTCAATTACTTGACTTGTTGAGAATACCAAGTAATATAAAATGTTACGAGGAGGTTTAATGATGTTTGACCTGACGGAGAAATTATGACGATTAATGGGAAATTAATAGAAAAATATTGAGAGTGAAATTTTGTCACATTTCTGTGCACCTGAAAAATTTTCTACGCCACTTCGCCGTGTCGCAAATTGGAGTGTAGAGAAGAGGCTCGAGTGTTGGAGTCCAATGGCAGTGCGATTGCGTCGCTCGACTCAGTTTTCTTGTGTGCTTCGCGTCGAAATGTTGGCCAAAGTGAAGAACTGTGGCAGTGCAACTCTTTGATTTTCCATCCCACCCAGTTTTTCTTCACCCCGTGGAAAATTCCCGCCCTTTTGGGCCACAGCAGTCGCGAGTGCCTAAAAAGTGAATTGAATAAAAGGCCTCTTGATGGTGCAAAGTGATGGAAAATCCACCCAATTCGATCGAGATGCAAATCGATAACTTCCTGGAGCAGTTCAAGAGAAGCGCCTCGAAGGCCATGGAGGGCGACTGGACGAGCACGAGCTTCAGTTCCATGCCCAGGTCCAGGAGTCGCCTGAGTTGCTTCGACATGAGTGAGTTTTCCGGTGAGTCGCCAATTAACGCCAATCTCGGCCACTTAAGCCCAGCGACGTGGGTTGTGTCCCACAGAGTGTCCGGAAGGGAGTGAAAAACCCCCTCATCGATTTTCCCACACTTTCCAAGCGCGCGGGGAAAACACACAAGTGACTTTCCTGGGGTTTCTCTCGATTCCCTTTGTCTCCTTATCAGTCCACATCGAGTGTCTCATGTTTGCTGAAGCTGCGATAGTACGCGCCAGCTGCTCTTCATCATGTTTCTTGGGCTCCGCAGCGGTTTTTGGGAGTTCAAAGGGCGGAGAAATTTGTATTTATGTGGAAAAGTGATGAGGGAAAAATCCCGAAAACTGTTGCATTTTGGGAATCGCATTGTAAATAATGGAGTGCTTCAGAGTGGAAATCGATAGGATAATTTAGAGAGTATAAATTTAGCGAGGAGTTATTTCATGCAAGGGAAATATAGTAAAGAAATGAGAAGGTACACCGCATATTTAACGGTGAAAAAGAGGTAACTTTTCCAGTAAGTGCGCTGCTTTTCCAACTGGAATAGAGTGTGACATTTTTAAATGAAAAGTTGCTGTGAATATTGAATTTGTACACCTTATTCAGCTATTCTTCTTGACTTGGGGAGTCATTCAATTTTTCATCCACCTTCTGCTGCAAACTGCGAATCTTGCAAATTGCAAAGTGCACTCAAAAACATAAATTATTTGCTGCAAATTAAGTCATATGAGAAATGAATTTGGCTTAGAGTGTATTTTACTGGGCAAATTGAGGAAGTTCAATCAATTAGCCTGTCTTTCGTCACATTATATTGGCCAATGTGGAGTGAAAAGAGTGTGTATTTTCGGAGGCAATTTCTCGCTCCTTCCCTTCCAAGGCAGGTGCACTTCTTTGCGTGCTCAATTCACAGCACGAGAGAGCATGACAAATTTTGTCTGGACACGAGTGCACATTTTGAGTTTCATGGATATTAGAGAGAGAGATTTGGCTGAAAATAGATTCTGGCAGAATCTCCCGTTCAGCTTCAAAATGTGGTTGTTTTTCGTGGCATTTCCGCACAAGAGAAGGTATATAAAATTGAGGGAAAAACTATAAGAAGCAGCGAGGCGACCAACTGTTGGGAGAGAAAGAAGTCATTATTGCCCTGAGTCACGTTGCTTTTTTCTGTCTCTGGGTCTTCAATTGTCTCAGGAGTTCTTCACCTTCTTCAGCTGTGGTGTCTCATTACGAATACAAAACCCATCACTTCTGCGTGTGTTTCGAATTAAGTTTGTGTGCTGAGTTTGGAGAAAAAGACTTGAGGAACATGAGGCTTTCGTCTGCACTTGTTGCACTTCTTCGGGGGACAATTGGGATTGAAAAATTATCCGAAACCATCTGAAAGCACAGGGTAAATGAACTTGTGTGCTGGAAAATATTGCAAAACATTGCAAATACTATTCTTTATATAATTTTGATGATGGATCACCTTTTTTTAATCTCTTATCCAACATGATGGCAACTCTGTTTTTTTCTTCGCCACCTCTTCCCACAATTCATAATATTTATTCCACCGAAAAAAAGACGCCCAGAGAAGCATGCAAGAGGTTAACGCATGTCTTTTAAAAATACTACCACGACAACTCTCAATTCAGTACGACTGCTTTAGCGTCTTTTCTGCCCTCCACACATAAACACGACACAGAGAATTTCTTTATGAATTTTTCTGTATGAAATTCCATATGCAGGCGAATTAGTGGAAATTGTGGGTTGGCAAATCAATAACCAAGGCGTTTTGTTTATTCACACACACATGAGGCTATAAACACCTTTTCTCATTTCGCTCTTAATTGAAAAGTTTGATGGCTTCTGAATGGCCAAAGAGTGATACAATTCTGTGTTTATTCTGTTCCCGAGAAGAGAGGCTTTATTTACGTTAATTGACGCTGTCTCTGTAGATACAATTCATGAATTTTATAATTGAAATTGCAGAGAAGTTTATTCAGCAATAAAAATCAGCGCCAGTTGCATCGTCAGTTGCAGCAACTGCGGGAAAAAGGAACGTTTCTTCTAGCTAGACAATGTTTGGCTTTGTGTCTTACATAATTGAGCAATAATTGGAACAAGAAGCATGTCTATTGTCGATTGGGGATAAACCCATCTGAAGATGCCAGACAGACTCATTGAAAAGTTCCAATTGAGAAGCTTCAGCGAAGGCCGGGAAAATATACTCTCTTGAGCATCGCAATTTTCTCCGTTGAAAGCCCATTCATAATGAAAATTCAATTAACAAGACTCCGCTCTAATTTCCGCGCGACGAAACGCGCGACAGACTTTCATGACTTCGAGCTGACGTCGACAATCACATAAATAATTTCCCGACGTGCGTCTCATTTGGAGAAAGATAAAAAGTCGCAGTGAAAGAATAAGGCCTGAAATTGTGCCAATATCTCGATGATTCTTTTTCCTCGCCACTCCATTCAACCTCAATCACGTTCACCGATAAGCTTAGCGCTGTATTTATTGAATTATCGATTTATTGGGCTGTCTTTCTTCTGGCTTCCAACGAAACAATAACAGTCTCTTTATTGCTAATTTTCTAGGCGAAGTCAATGTTAGGATTTCGCGTTGGCGGGAAAGTTGCGGGAATGTTTGGAAAAAATGGAGGCAAGTGAACTTTTGGACAGTCCGATAAATCTGTTAATTCAGGTGTCACTGTTTCGCTCTGGCTCGCTTTTGAGGGCCTCATTCTCAACTGATGATCGCCCTGATAGTTCCAACACTCTGATCACGGAAGACAGAGAGTCTTAATGATCATCATCGCGCCCTATCAAATTCCCAGAACAGATTGAAGAAGATAAGAAAGAAACGAGCATTCTAAGGAAAAAGCAATTGTCTCACATCGATTAATTAGAGCTGGAGCCACGCAGAGACACTTTGGGAAAATGTATGCAAAATGAAACGAGAATATCCACTATACTTTCACAGTGCCCGGTTTGCTCTCACTCTAGCCAATGTTCGCGGATCGCGACGATCGCATGGGCGCGCTTTTTCCGCTCAGTCTGCCACTGAAAGCCGACGAGTTAAGCGGGCCCAATTTGCTGTGTTATCAGTGCTTTATAAAGAGGAAAAGTGCGCAGAAAGTGAATTTTCACTGTTCATCTGTGAAGAATCGAGCGTGCGAACTGATCATCTGAAGATCACACTCGATCATGTGTGGATTGAAGACGTATTTTTCGGTGTACTTGTGACGTGGTTCGCGCGCAAAACAATGAGAAAAACCAGGCATAATTTCAATGTCACGTGAAATGAGAGAGATATAATTGCCTTAAAAAGAGGCCATCTGTGAAATTGTCTCTCACACTTTGTATTTTATTCAGCCTAAAACCCTCAAGAATGATCCGATTGAAGTGCTTCAATCGCGACAGGAGTCGCATTAAATTAGTGGGTAATTATCACAGTCTTTTTCCTCTCTTCGAACCTTCTCAAATAAATCATCTTCAGTATCGAGAGGAGGTGAAAAAAAAGTGTGAAGCAGTGCGGTTAATATTTATAAATAAACCGCAAATGTCAATTCTTTTCTCGTATTGACTCGACGACACTGAAAAGTGGACTTAAATATTTTGCAAATTGACGGAGTGCAAGCTTTTCATGGCTAAAAAAAAGTTGAGAATGAGGGAGATTTCTAGCATTCTCTCAAGCGCAGATGAGATAAGAAATCACATATGGAAGTTACAGTGCTTGCCGGGAAATGTAAGATCAGGGGCAGTTGTAATGTGCAATTATTGAATTACACAAGGGGGAGATAATATAGTCAGTAGAAGTTTAAGGAAGTGTTATATTTGGTTCACAGTTTTGTGTTTCTGTTGATTTTTTTACTTTCAGAAATAAATCTTTATGCAAGTCGCAATTTTGCCATATTTTTCTAGGTTATGTAACTGATTTGAGACTAAATAACATCTTAAAGTAAAAATTCTTGCGCCTAAATTGAAAGTACTTTCACTTTATTGGTAGATTTGCGTATTTTTACTTAATAAAAATCGTAATTTTTAACGGAAACGATGCTAAAGTAAAACATAACCTCATTTTTTTTTAATCAACTGCTGCAAATTGGGGCTAGAAATAATAGAGAAAATTAGTTAAAGAATTATGGATAAAGAAAAATGTGCTCAAGTGTAATTTTAGCGGAAGAAAATCATAAAATATTGTATAAAAACGTAAATTTTCAAGTTGTAAGTTAGATTTGAGTTAGTTTTTGGTTAGATTTTAGTTAGACCCATGAAGTTTAGAGTTCTGCAAAGTGCTGAAGATTTAAGGCATATTATCTTCCCTTTGGGATTACATTTGCTGATGAGAATCCTGTTCTGCTCGCATAATTTACATCAGGCACTGTTTTCTTCAATCTTGCCGTGATATCGACAAGTGTTGGTCTGAAATCTCTGAAGGGGAACTTTTGCAATTTTTTCCCGCCTTCCTGTTATAGACATACTTAATGAGAGTTTATCATGAGAAATCACTGGATTACCTTTTCCTTGATTCCCTTCTTTTGGTATTTGCTGAGCAAATTTGTCCTCGACAAACACACCCCAAAATCCTGTCCTTCTTCTTTTTCTGGTTTTTATTTGGGTGAGGAAATCCTCAGCAGACGAGGAATATATGCAAACAAGTCTTTCCCTCTTCCTTGCCAACTTCCGGCCCGTCATCGTCTGGCGAAGCAGAAAATATCCCGCATTTTTCACTGCACTCGTCAATCTCTTGCCCGTGATAAAAAAGCATAACAAAGACGAGAGATTTCGTAATTGCAGCCAATGAAGGAACAAACTGAGGGCTGAGTTGACAATTGCAGATAATTTGCCTGCGTGTGTGGCACTGAGGAAAACAATGAGTCGCTCGACGAAACTTCTGTTAACAATCTTGCAATTTATCCGGATGATCTGAGATGCATTCTCATTCCACTTCTCACCACCTTAAGAACCTTCTATTGTGGCATCAGAACGGGACCTCATTGTTCTCTTGATATCTTCTGCAATGGTGAAATTGTGTCGCAATATTCTTGCCAAGGTTTATCTGCAGTATTTGTATTTCCTTTGCCAAAAATTTATTGCTCTTCCTTCACGGAATATTTCTTGATTCATCATCCAGGAAAACCATTTCCGATAATTCTCAGCACAACAATAAAGGAAAAAAACACCCATTTCTCTGTCTCTAATCAGCTTGAAAGTCACCCAATTGTGGTGATTCACAAATGATCAAACATATTTTCATTCCAGTTCACTTGGTAAATGCGCTCTTCGAACGGGTTTCAAAACTCCATAACTTCTTATCATGTCGTCTTCACTTTCCAGACAACATCTTCGATTTGGATGCAAATGTGGAGGTGCGTTTCCCAGTCACTATTTTAATGCTGCATTCCAAAACATATCGATGTAATTTTGCGGTGGTTTCACTTTTTTATTCAAAACACTTCTTTTTCACTCAATCTGGTCTCTTCTTCAGCACCGATGAATTATTCCATTGAGTTGCCAAGGAAGTCGATGAGATTGTGGTTTTGATTTATGAGTTGATGGCGGGAAAAATGTTGCAGATTTACAAGGTTTTTGTTGAAAATATATTAGAGTGAAAAGTGGCATTTTTTCCACACTTTCCACCATACATAGTCGCGCCCAAACATGCTGAGAAAATCAGCGGGAAAACTATCAATTACTCTCATTCACAGACGCACTAACAATGTTCTGTTAAGGGGTGGATAATTTCTTTCATGGAAATGCAAGAAGATGAAGGATTTACCATCGATGCATGATAATTGAACCGAATTATCAAATGTGAGGAATGTTATATTGAATTTCTTAACTTTCCATTCGTTATTTCTGCAAGAATTCACTTTGAACTGCTTTTTTGAGTATCTTTTCCAATCATAACCTTCAAATATCACTGATCTTCAAAAACATCGATTGGAACTTGGCTTGGAAGCTTTCTAGATGACAAAATCATCTGATTAAGGTTTGCCAATGAACTTAAAATTGCTGATTTCGTGTAAAAATTATCTAAAATGATTTCTAAATGAACATTTTCCAAGTCCAAATGACTCTTTTTGAGGTTATGTTCGATCTCAGTACAATTTTCTGGGTTTCTTGGCATCAAAGCTTGAGAATAGTAATTTTTATTGTATGGAAATGCTTAATTTTGACAATAAATAGCGATCTTGGTAATTTTAGCATAAGAAATGATGAGCTACAATATGAATTATTCACTAAGTCTGTTTGTGATTCATTACATTGATTGATTTTTAGTGAAAATAGAAGGAAATCCCAAAAATTGGAATAATTTGTCAGTAAAATTAGCACTCGGGGATGAAATATTGTAAGTTTCTGAACACTTCTTCACACTTCTGCTGTTCTACAATACTTCTGACTATATTATCTTATATCATGCGTTAATATTCCTCTATAAGTGTGCCAATATTTCCCCACTTATTCGCCCCTTATTCTCTTGCTCTCTCTTTCTCTCTGCACTGGTCAGACAGCAGTCAGACTCCAGAGATTGCTTTTCAATTCAATGCCTTCAGTGTCTCTCCAGCCGGCTTTTGCTTCGTGTGTGATGCTCAGAACTCTGGGCATCGCATGTGACTTTTCCGCTTCTCTCGTGTCCGCTTTTCCACCGGAAACATTCCGTGAAGTTGTGCATTAGTGACGTCATCTATTGTGCACACTTTTGCCTTTGAACTGAACTTGAGCTGCCATCGAATATGAGCGATGGGCGCCCAATTGTCGTACTTCAGAGGTATAGAAATGCTTTCCATATTTGTCTCTTGCGTGAAAAATCCACGTGTGCCGACGTGAAATTGGAGAAATCACGCATGAAAGAGTTCGATGGCTCGCAAATTGATTTGCATTTATGATTCGGACTTAAAAATTTCCTCAACTTTTCACTGTGTGGATTTTTTTCTTCTTCTATTATTATGTTTTTGTGTCCAGTGAATTGAAGAAAGAGAAAAAAAAAGTTTTTAACTCTTTGGCGAGTGGTGATAAGGCAAGAAAACAGGCCTAGAATTACAGCTGATCCGCAATTGAAGCAACCGCAAAAAGTCTATTTTCCCACAGAAAAGCCAATTATATTCTCTCTCTCCGCATTCTAATTGCTACAGAACGGAGAATTCTCTCCTCATTCTTTGCATTCACGAATGCATTATGTTATGGCATTGCAGTGGGCAATTTTTACTGTAAAACTTATGAATTTAGAGTCTCTCTGAATGAGGGAAAATCATCAAGCATCGCGCGGCATCTTCTTGAGATGACTTTTCCGAAACAAAAACGTGCGCCATTAATTACAAGTTTAGCGACGATGATGAGCTGTTTTCACGAGTCAGGGTCATAGTATTGGATAAACCTCACAATTATCTTGTTTATTTGCTCCATTCGACGATCAGCGAGCTCTTGCCACGGTTGGAAACCTCTGTGGCTTTGCAGAGCAAATTGTGCAATTGTCTACCTCTCGAACTTCCTCGATTCTTTCACTGAGCATTGCACAAGACACCTTTCTGAGACGGATTATTCGGTCACTGGCGTTGTCCAGCGATCGGAGTAGATGTGGAAGGGGTGATAGATAAGATTTAGATAATAATTCTACCCATTGTATTGATATTATACCCTTAAGTGTGATGATTTTCGCCAAATATACTTTAAGATGTACTTTTTATCTTTTGACTATCTTATCTACAAATCAATCCACTCTGATTGAAGTTCCATCACGATCTTCGTGGATGATCTTTTGCAAGAAAACCATCCGGAATTCGATCATTTTCCCACCCAAAATAACAGACAATCGTTCTCTCTGTCTTGCAGATGACTCAACTGAGAAGATCGTTATAGAGAATCCGGTTCAGGGACATCATCCAGTGTTCCAGCATCAATCCTCTGTCTCATCCTGCGCCTCCATTCAGACGGTGCTCGTGCAGAATGGTCAGATGGTGGAGAAGTGCGTCAGCTTGGCGCCGCCGGTGCAGCTTCAGCCCTCAGGAAGTCTCAGTTCTCTGACCAATGGAAGTCTCCAGCAACCTCCTGTGACTGCCAATGAGGAACCGCTGAATGTGGCTGATGTGGCGAATCTTCTGCATCCACAGTATGCTGTCATCACGGGTGGGAAATCCAAGGATGGCTGTCCGCTGATCACCTTTCCTGACCACAACAACTTCCAGAGTTTGGCCGATCATGACTACCAGAAACTAATCTTGTATCTCACGTCAGTTCCATCGTGAGTATATTTTGAGCGAGGAAAATCAAAGAGAGATTTTTTTTTGGGATTCCTTTAAACAATGAAGAGCCGCAGTTTGTGTTGTTTATAGATGTTTCAACAGAGGAAAATTCATAACAGCTTTTTCTTTGTCTGTGATTTTAATTGAGTGGGTGTAAATCTGTACACAATTTCCTTTGCAAGATCATTTGTAGATCATCTTGCGCGAAAAGCTTGATCTTCGCCAGTTGAATGGGATCAATTGATGAAGATCAAGTGGAAGTTCAAGTTAAAATCATGTCATAATGCTGACAAGATCCTTGTTTTCTACTCTCTTGCAGTCTTCAGGAGGCGGATTTGGGCTTTCACCTGATTGTGGATCGTCGCAAGGATCGCTGGACGTCTGTCAAGTCGGTGCTGCTGAAGATCTCAGTGTACTTTCCGGGTGTCGTGCACGTGGTTTACGTGATCAGACCGGCGGGATTCTTCCAGAAAGCCATATCAGAAGTGAGTTCGAAGTTCTTCAAGGATGAGTTCCGCTTCCGTTTGGTTGTGTGCTCGAGCTTGGAAGAGCTGCACGATCACGTGTCGAAGACACAGCTGACCAGTGATTTGGGAGGAGATTTGACGTATTCGCACCACGAGTGGATTCAGCAGCGAATCTGCCTGGAGAAGTTCTCCAGTCTCACCCACCAAGTGTCCTGCAATCTGGACTCCTTCATCAGATCAATTCACGACACTGAATTCCCGAACTCTGTTGAGGCCACGCAGAAACTCCTTGACGAACAGGGTGCGGACTATGAGCGTCTCAAGGATGACATTCTGGCGGCGGCGAAGCACGGAGAGGGACTGCTTGAGGATCTCAAGACGAGAGACGAAGGTGGGAAGGAATTCTCAGAAAGAACGGGTATAATTAGCTCAATTGAACGGTGAGTAGAAAATCTCTAGCATTTCATTGTTGTGCTTCTTTGGAACTAAAGTTATTATCAGTTCCTTTTTGGTTACTAACTCTGCACTGGTTGTTGATCTTATCAAACATTTTCTATTCTGGATGTTGTTAGATTTCATACTGTGAAGTTGCAGAATACACTAATCATTCAACTCATTGCATGCCAGAAAGACACACAACTAAATACTTCCACTCAGACACTGTTTCGCCAGACACACTCCAGAAAAATACTCCACAATAACACTAAACCCGTAAAATAGATTTATGATAAAACCTGTCTGTATTCGTTTAGTGTCCGTATGACGATAAAGAGCGAGGAAGATCAATTTCATTTCATGCCAAATCGCGCCTCATTGACCTCATGTGTCTCACTCTGTGTGTGTCGATCGGGTTGCCATCCCAGTGCAGGGAGTTTTTATCTAAATGTACACCGTCTTGATGACAGTCGCGATTACCGCAGACTCCTGGTGCAACTCGAGGAGACTGAGAGGCGCTTCGATGAGTTCTGGAACGCCCACCTAACGCGCCTCAAGCACTGCTTGGAGCTGCGGCGCTTCGAGCAGGACTTCAGGGAGTTGCAGGTGAGTTGATCGCAAGGATAAAACCAAGATGAGGATCTATAACGGCTGAACCTCTTTTCCCGCACAGATAAACTTCGACGCTCATTTGAAAACGGTGTCAGAGATGACGGAGATCGGCGAGACGGTCCAGCGGGCGGACACGCTCGTGAAGGAGATCAGAGCATTTCAGAAACTGTGCCAAAGTGACATCGACCGAGCTGAGGAGGTCATTGCGACAGGACAGCAACTGATCAGCGCTCGCGGCGCGTGTCCTCGTGAGGTTGTGCAGCCAAAGTGTGACGAATTGTCGCGAGTGTGCGAGATTCTCGCTGAGCGCCTCTCGCGGCGCCTCGAGATTCTCGCGAAGAATCGCGATCTCATGGAGAGAGTCGAGAAGGTGAGAAACAGTCTCGGCGGGAAGAGAGTTTGAGAAGCACTGATTGTGTCTGCTTTCAGGCGAATAAGTGGTGTGCCAAAGGTGTTGAATTGCTGGCTTCGCAGCGAATTGAGAAGTGCTCCTCATCGGCTGAGATTGCTGAACAGAGTCTGCAGGAAATTGTGCAGTTTCTCGCCTCGGCATCGGACTTCAAGCTGTCCAGTCCGCGGGAGTTTAAGAATGTGTTTCAGGAGAGCACAACACCTGAAACGAAAGCCCTCGTGACACAGGTAAATGCTACGCAGTTTATTGGTAAATATTTGCTGGGAAAATAACCGCGGGTTTATTGTAGTTGATAAGGAGGGATTCCAATATTTGCTAATTTTCACGTTTTCACGATACGTTTTTATTATCTCGCATTCTTTAGAGGCTTTCCGGGAAGGTATTTTGGCTGTTGAAGTTTAATTCATTACTCAATGACTATTTGAAATTCATCCAGTTTAAATCAAATTCATTGCAAAATTTCATGATGGTGACAAAGCGACAAATAAGCAAAAATCTCCTGCGGTTTCTCTTGGGCAACAAAGCATTGTCAGTGTGTCTCCGTGCCTCTATTATTAATATTTGCAATTTAATATTCACACACGATCTCTTGGTCGTGCCTTTTCGGATCTTTTGCCTCAAATCTTGAGATATATTTTCGCGACAGAGTCTCTCTCACAGTGAGATAATTGTGGACGTAATCAGCGTCATGCGCTACATATTTTCAGGAGAGGCTGGCAAACTTGTCCGGCGATCTTTTCATTAGATAGTCGTGGCGTTTGGAAAATTGCAGACCTTCTGCGCATTCTCGCGAAGTGACAATAAATTCAGTGGCCAGTGAATATTATTTATTTTTCTAATTGCGCGCATTTGACAATGAGATTCGCAGTTTTCACTCCCTCAATGGTGTTTCCTTGGATGCGAAAACTCCCATAAGGCTGGCCGTGAGGCAAAGAATCGTGTTTATGTGATTTAATGATCTTTCGCCAAACGACTTTCACTGCTGAAGATGCGCCAAACGTAAGACGATCTCTCGTGTGCCTCGAAGACACACTCAAATATTTCCGATCTTTCTAATCACCGCATCTCACTTCTCATCCGTTTCCCAAGTTCGCCGTCTTGAGACTCAAGTCACATTTTTCTTGTGAAACATCTGCATCTCATCATGATTTATGGTCAATTTCTATCATCGAAATGTTTCTCGAAATATCTTTTTTTTGTTGTCGTTGATTTCCTGACAATGTTATTTTATTGGATTTTAAACGTGATCTTTGCGAAATATCTGCGATTTTTCTTCCTTTCTATACAGATTTATTTTGTGAAAGAAATACTGTGATAAGACACGTAATTCAGTCGTAAGTCATGTGTAGGTATTTTCTTGGCAATAAAACTGGATCTGGAGGCGTGGTTAGATTGAAAGTGAGCGATAATGAAAGAGGTTTTGGAACTGCATGACAAGAGATTTGTCATGGCAAACACTTTGCAATGAGACACGTGTAATTTGGGAAAGTTTGTTTGCCTTCAAGGGTACTAAGGCAAGATTTGGTTACATTTCCTCTAATCAAAATGACAACATTGGGAATTCATGTCACTAGAAGATTAAGAAGAAATCGATTTTCTTTCTTTTTTTTAAGTGATTTGAACTTGTATTGCCTTGAAAGTCTGCTTGACTGATTGCCAATGATCTTTCAGCGAATCTTAAGATATTTTGCGACGAAAAATTGGGCAAAACGGATGTTCTGGGTTTGCGTCAATTGCAAAAGAGATGCAAAAAATATTTAGGCAAAATTGAAATAGTTAAACAACTACAAAAAAAGACAATTAAATGGTTGACAAGTTTCTGAAATAGTCAGATTTTTTCTCCTTGAAATTCACTTAAGTTGGTAAACCCCTGAGTTTACTTTAGAACATGTTCAAATACATTGACGAAAGAAAAACACACGAAGACTGCAAAACTGCAGTCATTCGCAGAAAATGCCCCAATCAATCGCGGTATTTGGATCATGAATTCCGTCAGAAAGTGAGTGTTTATTGTGATATGTTGCAGGTTCTGCAGAGAATTGACGATGTGTCTTTGATGTGCGACAAGAGAGTGGCGAGTCTGAAGAAATTGGCCCTGAAACCGCCTCGTCCTGTGCAGACGGTGACTCCTGAGCCCGCGGTGCCCCTGCAGCCGCCCGGAGGAGCGCCTCATCCCTTCCGCACCAGGAAATCCCCAAAGGTGAGTCCTTGTTATGCAAGATCTGCCCACGGAATTACATTTGCGCACACGATATTAATTCATTTTTAATAATAACACCTGAGATGAAATGTCCGAGGCAATTTCGCCTCGCTTTTTATGCAAATTCCTCGGCAGTGTTGGAATTTCAACAATTATTTTCCAATGATGAGCTTTCGCCCAGCGATTGTGCAAGAGAAAATTACCATTGGTGTGCGGTGAAAAATCCCAATGTTTGTTGAGTTATTACCGCGGAAATTCACTCGTCTTTTGATGAATTTTCACCAAAATTGTCACTACAGTTGAACATGTTTTCCCAAAAAACACAAGACTGATTTATGGATGAGTCAGTGGATTATATTTCTTCATGGATTTTTGGTTTCTTTGATTGCCTCACAAACTTTCAGGCCACTAAAACTTGTGATATAATTGTCGAGAATTCACTTGACAATTTGCAGTGAGTAAGACTCGATAATTACCTCGTTTCCGATCATTCACTCGAACGTGACATAATTTGGTTTACTGGATTTTTGGGGGCTTAACGACACTCTCGTGCGTAATATTCTTGCACTGTTGGTGATCTGATTGTTTGTGACAATTTTATCACACTTTTGCAATACTGAAATTAAAAATTCCTTTTCCCGCCGTGCACAGCCTGGCTCAGCTCAGCTGTCCCATCTAATTACCATCCTCTCTAGAGTCTGTTAAACTGTTCTTTCCTCTCCGTCGCGTCCAATAAAACCACCATCGATCATCTTTCTCGGGCTATTAAGCGGCGGAAAAACAAGACAATTACCCATAAATTGATCTTTTTTCCCTCCTCATCGGCAAAGACAAACACTTGGGGACAAAAAGTCTGCTGGATTGAATCACGATCAGCCGCACTTCCTCAGGTTGAACGACTCTAAAGACGTGGTACAATTAAACTTTCTTTCGCGCCGCGAGAAGTGAGCTCAGCCTCTGGGATAAGCTTGAGGATTTGCGGAAATTCTCTTGAAACTCGACCTCCCGGGAAGAGACCTTTTCAATGGCTTTTTTTTGTGGCCGAGGAAGTGTTTTGGACTTGAATCGGACGGTGAAATTGTGTAATGATTTCTTTCTTCGGAAATGACCAATCAATCACGCCAAATCACTCAATAAATCGATACTATTTTCAGTCATTTTTTGGGCATGTCTTACGCAATGTGCGGATCGCTTTTTCGGCTGGTGCGCGAGTTTCTTTTTGTTGGCGCGAGAAGATTGTGTAAAAGGCTTAACACATGTCTAATTCGTCAATTTAGTACTCTTCTCTGGGCTCATCTTTTCGCGGAAGGCGCTTAAGATTGATATGGACACCACTTCCGAGCATTTCCCACCATTTCTTGGGCGCGCGCACATTTTGTGTAGAAAATTGCTCAACATCGCGATGGTTTTTTCTTGTTTCTGCGATGGTACAAAATGACCGAGAGTGCCATCAAGATGGCAAGAAAGTGTGTGAAGAAAGAAGAGCGATAAGATCGGCAAATTTCAGTTTCATTGTCAATGAGAAGTTAGAATTCACTTTTGGCGACAATTGGCAAATGTCTTTAATTGCAATCTTGTGTAATGGCCGACAATGGCGATCGTGAAGCATGACGTGGGCGCACAAAAGAAGTTTCTCTCATCCGCAAGACGAGTATCAATTTCCGCACCTTGTCTTCTGGGTGACAAAAATATGGAAATGGCGGCAATTAATTAAGTGAAAGTCTACCAGACACATGAAATTGCCAATTGGTTAGGTGCTTGTCAAGGGGAAATTGCAACGAAAAATTCATCAGAAACAATTGTCATTGAGTGATCTTCTCAGGCTTCGATCTTCACACGCACCGACTTTCTTTACATTGCGCGCACATTCATTGATGATGCATTTGGGACAAGCGCGTCTTTCTCCGCATCCATTCCTTTGACAAGAAAACTTTTCTGCAATGTGCACTTTTCCGACAAGTTTCAGCGGGAAATTTTGCTGTCAATATAAGACAAAAATGTTCGTGATGAGTTTCCTAAATGTTTTTCTTTTCTTACTTCTTTTTGCTGTGAAAACCCACTGAGGCAGTAAAGTTGGCAATTTGCAATCTAACACAAATACAAAACACGAAAAAAATGAATTTTGGCATTGAACTTATGTGTAATTCATGAAATTCACAAAGTGGAAAAGCACTCATTTTACACAAATTCAGCTTCTCTTGGTTTATTAAAATAAATTAAAATGCTATAAAGCGTCGAGTAATTTGCTTTTTGGATAGTATAATGGCCTATTTTCTTGTCATTTCGTGTCTTTTCTTTCTATTTTAATTGGTCAGATAAAACTTTCTTGGGAAAAATGGAGAGAATGATGGATTGAACAGGCCGAAAGAATCACCGCGTGCATTCTTTAGCGCGTGGCGATAGTAATATGAGGAAAGAGATTCTGACCAGAAGATCATTAACGTTATTGATGGTTTGTGAGACTTTCTAAGTCCAGAAAACTGTATTTCACTCCCGCAACATGTCTTGCAAATGACTATTTTCTGACGATACAATTTGCTCTTAATTGCGCGCACTCAACAGTTAACGTCTGACTTTGTGCTTTTGGTCAAGCTCCATATTCAGTGACCCATTTCTCAGGCCGAAAAAACAGTCATTACCTTAAGAAGATGAGACTGCGCGACCTTTGAGAGAATGCGTCAATCCTGCCCAAAAATTCTGTCAAAGAACAGTTGCGGTATTTGAATATCATTATGCCGATATAGAATAAATGGCATTATATGCCACGAAAAGTGTCAAGAACAGCTAAGACTAGAGAATTCTGCCCATGCCGCGCATTCTAACTGTTCTTGATCATCCATTTTTCTTCACGAAATTCCCATATTCTCATCAAGTGCCAAAATGATCTCAACGACATGCAAACAGGATTGGAATATGGGTCAAGAATATTGTCTCATTTGCATGTGAGCTTGGGAAGAGAGACATTCTGGTCAAGATCAATGACTTTCTGAAGGTTGCCTCGCAGACTCTGACCATGTTTCTGTCCCCAAATTGCTGACCATTATCGCGCCCACCTTTCACGAGGCTGCGGCATTTGCTGCACAGAAATACAGGTCAATTGCCCAGAAATTGTGGAGAAAAAGAGGTCGAAATCGCGAGGTTTTTAAGCGCTATTAAGGGAATTTCAAGCCACGCCCTTTCAAATGCTCCGCCCAAATGCACATTAAAGTTGCATCGCTTTTTTCCCTATTAAAATTACTATTCTTTCCTGGCGCTAATGCAATTAATCAATTAGCATTTTATCGAAGCGAGTAAATCGCTCTTTATTAATTACACTCTTTTCCACACTATTAACTTTCAAGGCAAGGGCGAAAGAGAGTGTCTCTTAATTGACTCTCTCAATGGATTTTTTTTCCTTAAACTGCGCTTTGGCCATGTTCTCAGCGTGATTCTCAGTCTAAAAACCATTAAAGATGATTAGCATCTCTTGTGTCTTGTCACTTATCCTGCTGAGAATCTCACCATTCCGTGTGATGACCCAATTTGTATTTGCATCTGGCTTTACGGTTTATCTGCATGTTAGTGTATTTCGAATGGCTCTATTAATTCAATGGTGCAACACAATTTTCTTAACAGTTCATGCGGGAATACTTGATCCCGGAGGCAGAGAACTTGTTTCTCCACAGCAATTCCTTAGTAACACCGTCACCTACCTTCCACAATGGGAGGAAAAAATCCTCCTCACCGGTTCACCTTCTTCCTTGTCCCGTTTTTCTCGGGGTTTCTTCTCAAGTGGCGAACAGGAATTCACTGGCCCGTTTCTTGACCATCTCAAGGCATAAATCGAGTGCGTTTTGTACTGTTATCTTTCACTACGTCTTTCGCAGAGTGTCTTGAGGAGAAATGCATCTTAAAAGTAAAGTGATTTATCTCTCTTTCAACCTCGAAATTGAATGTTGATCTGCAATCGAGTGATCGACATTTTTCCGCGAGGAAACAAAGTGGAAAGTTATGCAATTCGTTTTCTTCGTGGGTTAGTTTAACAGTGAAAAGCGCTCAATCATTAATCATTCAAGAATATATTCGTTGAGTCAGAAGCCAATTGGCAGAAAATTGCTCAAAAGTTCTATCTTCTTACTATTAATCACTATTTGATTAACAGCTAACTTCCAATTGACTCTCTTTATCTTCATTAACCAAAATGGTAAAACCATGATCTTCTTGGGTCACGACCGCCGAAACACCTGCAATTAATCATCTGAGCGCTAATTGAGCTCGATTGGATGCAATGTTTTGGGCAGCGGGACTGATAATGAGATAGGAATGAAAGTTTTATATTAATCGATTTTTGATTGAATGCGCGACGAAAGAGAAAATTACACTTGACGGGGAAAATAGAAAATTCCATGCAACCGAAAAGGGAGTGGAGAAATTTGCTGTTCGTCATCTTTTCACCATATTTGCAATTCTTCAGCTTGCATAACAACCGACAGAGTTCAATATGATCTCGCGTGATTCCACCGCGAGGGTCAATTTTGTGACGAGAATTTGGGTCTTTCTCTTAACTGTTTTTTTGTTTTCTGTATTGAGAATTAATTTAAAAACATTCTTAACCCACTTAATCGATGTTTTCTGATGTTCAACGCTAAAGAATGCGTGTTTGATAAGATTTTTATGCTGATTTTTATGTCATTTTCAATCTGCGCAGTTGATAATTGCTGAACTTTTCCTTCATGTGATTATCCAGTATTGTTAAAGTGTTTCCTAAGTCATCAAAAGCAATTTGTCCATAAAGTGTGACACCTTTCGCATCTCTCAAATATCCCCCCATTAAATCAATTTAAATCTGTAATTGATTAGCGAAATTGTTAGCGAGAACAAACACACACGGCAATTTTCCGTGAGACAGAAAGTGCTTTTGAAGCATTAGCCCAAATTTCAGTGGCTTTTGTCATGTGGCTTTTGTCCCCTCGAAAGTGATCTTGCGCCATGGCCTCAAAGACATGGTGAGGAAGTATGAA